TTTTTTTTTTTTTTTTTGTTTTTTCCCCCACCCCACCCCACCCCACCCACACACACACTCCTTCCCCCTCTTCTTTTGGCAACTGTTATTTAAAAAAAAAAGTTTTCTAGCTATCAGCGCAAGTCTTGATGATGAGTCTGTGTCTGAGCAGCTGAATGTAATGTCAGAGGGATGCAGCAATTTGATGTTCTTAGGGCTGATAATGGATCATTCTATTCTGGGCAGACTCTCTTCTTTTCTTTTTTTTTCCCCTCCCCTCCCCTAAAGACACAGTTCTTCCTCCCCTTCTCCCCCTACCCTCCCCCTTCCCTTTTCCTTTCAGTCTGCTGAATAGGAAGAGTCAGGACATGGAGCCTTGGGAGTTATCTGAAGTTATTTGCTTAGTCAGACAAGAATTTCATGCTGCAACAGCCCAGTGGGATGTATTTGGAATTGGTAGACAGCAACAAGCAATTAACTGTATGGGTCTGCCTCAGCCATCTCTTTTCTTATGCAAAGTAAACTTGTAGAGTGTATGTTCTTTTTGTTTTTGCACGTTAAAAATGTACTTCTGCTCTTGCTTGCAACGAAGGAGTTGTAATAAGATTCATTATGCTAAAGCTGAAGTGGTATTTCAGTAGGTCAGAAGGATGTGTGTTTCTGTTTAATGGATTCATTCCTGCAGTGTCAGTGGGAAGTAAGGGAATTTGGGACCTCACAGATTTGGGCTCTGTAAATCATTTTGAAGTAAACTAGTTGTCTTGGCTTATTTTTGTTGGCAAGCTTGACACTTCCATTGGACACTTCTAGTGGTTATAAGTAATTGCTCCTACAAAGATGAATTCTATCTCTTGGAGTTGTTGAAAATGTCAGTCAATCGTACTTGAATCATAACGTCACCCATGTCTTAAAGGGGAACTGTCAGCTTAAGTCACTTCTATAAAAGCCTCCACCTTACCCATAATATTAACATTTTGAAAAATCATTAAAGATGAAATAATTTAGAAAATCTAGCTTATTTTTTCTAGATTTTTTTTAAATGGAAGAGACCCATTTATGGTAATCTACTTTGATCTGCTGCACAGGACAAGCCAGTAATATTTGTATGAAGCTTATTTCATCATTTTTGCTTCTCTGTTACATTTTGCATTGTCTTTAGCTTGGCGGTGAGGCTAAACTAGTTAGTTTGGCTTTTGTTTTTCTTCTGATTCACTTGTTTCTTGAGCACTGTGGTTTTCCTGGGCTTTAAAGCTTAAAAAAAAGACTTTATTTTTGTAACACACACAGTCTGGGTATTTTACAAACAGCCAGCCTACCTAAAATTACCGTGTTCAGAGGCCCTATAGAACTGATACGGACATCAGCTTTAAGCATCTGGGTCCAATCCTGCTAACCCTTTTATACATGAGTAGCTTGTGGAGTGCTGGCAGTGATTCCACATTTCCCATGAGCGTAAGGCGGACGTTATCTTGGCAACCGAGGGGAAAATAACACTGGTGTACTATATTTGTGATGGATTTTCTTTTTTTAATGTACACAACTAGTCACAATCATTAAAGGCTCTCCTACTGTGTTTCCTCTTGCTTAAAGTGTTACAATAAAAATGTTTCTTAAGCATGAGATCTATAAATGAAAATCCTGTGTTTAAAACACAGGGAAGATTAAAAAATATATTTTAGAAGATGTTTTAAGTAATGCTTTCTCTGCTTCTGAAGTAATTTTTGTTTACAACTTAGTCCTTTTTTTTTTTTTTAAGCTTATAGCTGTGTAACGGATGGGTGGCTATAAAGAACAAAAGTGGCACGAGTGAAAACAAAACATGAGAAACTAATTCTCTATACAGTGTCTGTTCCTGAACACAGGCCTAATGTATATAACATGGCAGCAGGCATCAAGGCTACATTTCATACTGTCTCAAGTCCATGTTGTAAGTGTCTGTTGGTAGGAAATGGAGTAAACACCAAGTTATTTTAATGTACTGGCATTCCAACAATGCTGTGTTTCTGTAGGCAAATAATGGTCCATTCATGCCTTAAAATAAATGACAATGCAGTCATAAACACTCAAAGCAAAATGTGCGTGCGAGCAGGGACTGTACATGAGCGAAACAAGCTGCTTGTTTATGGTATAAATCCATCTTTGAAAAGTTTAAAGAACATCAGATGTATACATATCTTGTTATCAAGTGGCTTTATCGGTGGCTAGCAATTGGTCTTTTGTAGTGTGCAACATTCTAGATGTATTCTTGCTAGGTTGTAATACGTTCCATTTTGTCCTGAGTACATCTTTTTTTTTTTTTTTCCCCCTTCTCTGATGCATTTTTTTTAAAAATTTTGTATTTCCCCTTCCACATGGAGAAGCTCTAAACTTGAGGAGCAAGTGCAACAGCGGTTATGTTGTCTATGTGGGAAGTCACTAACACTATAGTGTTCCTGCTTTACTCGGTAAATGGATTATGTCTAGGTAGGGCAGCATCTGTCCAGCATAGACTGAAAATCCCTTGACTGACTTTTGCAGCTCTGTGTAGTCTTTAATGCTTGTCCCCATTTAATGACTAAAGACGGCTCCTCTCCAAATGAAGGCTCAGTATTGGGGGGGTTTTATGACGCTGTGTCTAAGTTGTCAGCACATCGTTATAATACAGTATTTTTCAGGTGATTAACTGAATAAACCCACTTTTTCTTACCTTGTACGTGTCATACAAGTTTCCACTAAAGCATATGAGGGTTATTGCTGCTCAGCCCTTTTAGAAAATCTGGCAGCCTGTTTTGATCTCGGCCTTTAAAAAAAAACAAACCAACCCAACAGTTTTTGTTTTTTAATACAACTTACTGACTTGCAATACTGTGAGAATGTGATGTTTCCAAACCTGTAATCATGAGGTTTGTGAAAAGTCCTTGCTTGATAACCCTGGCCCCTGTTGCCTCTTCTTTGCTCTCTGAAAAACTATGGGACAGTGCTGAGTTTCCCCACATGGCTGTCAGTGTGCTTTAATCCTAACCTGGAGGGGATTACCTCTAACGGAGAAAAGAGGTAGTTGGGCCAGGGTCTAAATGAAGCTAGGGACTGAACTACTCTCTCTAGCATAAGCTCTGGTGGTAAATGTTTATGGTGTAGGCACTTCCCATAGCAGGGACCAGTCTCATTTTAGATTGGCTACTCAACTGCTTTTAACAGAAATGACTTTCAGTTGCTACTGGACTCAAATCTGAATTCCTTTTCCAGAACAAATTTATGCTCTGCCTGAGGTAGAGGTGGGCTTAATGTCTATAAAGGGAGGAATATGGTAACCTTGACTGAGTCTGGCTTGATCAGTCTTGCTGGAGGAATACTGCTGTAGAAATGCTCTTACAGAGCTGAGGTCATTTAGGGCATCTAGAAGCAAAGTCATGGTGCCATATGGTGTAACAAATGACATTGCTGGCATCCATATATGCTGTGTCTGGAGCAAGGACTGCCTCCATTTTGTTTTGTTATTTGGTAGTGAAGAAATTGGAGCCCTAACTAGAATTTCTGTGGTGATTATCTGTGGAGTGATAACGTAATTTTCACCTGGGATTGCCCTGACTCTTAAGGATTTGTTCTGTTAGGCTCCTAATTTGTCATTCCCCATCAGATGCTGCTTTGTAAGGGGCAGTATTCTGATAGATGCATCTTGACTAATTTTAAAATATTAAGATTATGGTGGGAAATTGTAAATGTCAGGGTATTCCTCCACAAGGAGGTGCCATTCAATAGCTGTCTTGGACACAATGAGGTTCCTTGCATGGTATCTGTGGTGCTCTTCATCTTCTGCATGAAATCTCTCTTTTAATTCTTAACTGCCTAAGGGGAATAAACTTATTCTCTCAAACTGTCTTCACTGGCTAAAGACTTAATTTCTTTGCAAAGGCTGTCTGACTGTTGTGTATTAATACATGGTGGAAAATAGTACCTGCATCATATTTATATATAGATATCAATATTGAATTGCTTTCCTTTTGAAAGTGAAATAGTGCTGGGGGTTCCCTTATAAAATTCTTTAGCCATCTGTTTTTTATTTTTATTTTTTCCCCTCCTTTCTTCCGCAGTAGTTGCATAACTGGATGCTGCAAGCATTTAAGATTTGGCATTCACCGAACATGGGAGAGAAATGAGATTTTTGAGATTCCACAGTTCTCTCTGGTCAGTTTGCCTTCCAGTCCCTGTTTTCCATCAGGCTCTTTGGTGCTGAGGTTACTGGAGTTTACTGGCCACTGCAAAGAGAAACTTTCTGTGGGACTCAGTCCTGTCAAGTATGTGAAGGAATTGAATTGAAATTGAGGACTGGGCCCACAAGAAGTGTTATAAGC